GCATTATTCAATAATGTTTGTATAAATTGTGCAGGGATGCTTGAATATAAAAAAATTTGGTTTGTTTGGGTTAATTTTAAAAAGTGTGGTATGGTTAGTTGTTAATGGCCCATGGATCGTCCGGCCCGCCGAACCGGTCCTGACCCGGCACGAATCCGGCTCAAATCCTGCATGGTCAAACCTGTTGACCACGGGTCCGAGCGCGGACGGAATTTTCGACGAGCCGTTTCAGGGTCATTATTTCATGACCTTGGCCCGGCATCCTGGCCGATAACCATTTTTTATTTTAATTTTTTTTATATATTATTCTATATTTTTTTAAAAAAAATTACGACCCGACCCTGACCCGTCTCGGGCCATGCCCGACCCGGTTAAATGGGTCATATGCCCGGCACGAGCATAGGTCTGCGCCAGTTCATGGTTCAGGAAACCCAACTCGGAGGCCCAGCGGGCTGGCCGGGTCGTGACTCGGCCCGGGTTTTGACCATGTCTATTAGTGAGTATATTATTTCCGGCCTGGGTCTTGGCCATGTCTATTAGTGTGTATATTAATATAATATTTAAAATAAAATAATTACAGTTGATTTGATGTAAAATTAAGAGACAGATGATTTGAAGTGATAATTAATTAAATTATGCGAGTGGATGATTAGTGAATTAAAATTGATGTAGTGTGTAAGAATGATTGTTGATATATTTAAGGAGTTTTTTTCAATACAAGGCTCGAAAGAAAGGTAAACTATCAATTCGGGGCCTGAAAGATTTTTTTCTCAATTCGGGACCTGAATGTTATAAAACTATCAAATTAAGTCCTGCAATTAACAACACTCATAAAACCATTAAATTGAGAGTTAATTTTAAGTTTTAAAACACCAAATATGTTTTTTTTTTTAATATTATGCAATTGTTTACTTATTATTTTATGTGAGTAAGCAACAATCTTTTATTTTTCTTCAAATTTAGTGTTTTAAAACTTAAAATTAACTTTCAATTTAATGGTTTTATGAGAGTTGTTAATTGTAGAACTTAATTTGATAGTTTTATAGCATTCAAGTCCCGAATTGAGAAAAAAATCTTTCAGGCCCCGAATTGATAGTTTACCTATCTTTTAGGTCTTGTATTGAAAAAACTCTTATATTTAATTATATTGATAATATTAACGATACCTGGATTGAATTAAAAAAATAGTTAAATTAAAAATGTTTGGATTTTTTTTTTTAAAAAATTGTATCTA